GTCGACGAGAACCGGGAGCGCGAAGGAAACGTGTGCGTTAGGCTCGAAGACGACGTGGTATTGTTGTCAACGTACGACGAGGTCGCGGACGGTTGGCGAGAAGAGGATAATGTTTACGAACGCTGTCGTCAACGGAGGGCAGTTCGCCGAGCGCGCATTGTTCCGTTGGCGAAAAAAAATAAAAATAAAAACAATGGAATCGTCCGAAAAAAAGACCGGACGTGTCGAATACCCCCCCCCCCCCCCTTCCAGACGCGGTGCGCTTCGTGAACGGTTTACCGAAGACGAAAAAAAAAACGAACAATCGTCGTCCTGTCCAACCGAAATCTTTGCGCTTCGGCACCGCGTTTTATTTGCGTTGCGATGTGCGCGCACGCGGTGGCACGGTCACGTTGCCGCGGTCATTGTGCGCGGCACGTGTAACGCGTACGCGCGAGCGTTCCGTTCCGGCGGATCCGCCGACGCGGACGGCAATGATGTTGTCCGGCACACGCGCAGGCCCGTCCAAAGATATTTTCCACCTCGAAGCGAAAATCGTACGGTCGCTGTTCGTTACAAATATTACGAATCGGAATTATAACAATATACGGTGGCGTTGAGCTGGCGGAGCTACGATTGCGGTGTAGATGCATAACAGTAATTACTGTCGTGTGTTGTCGATATTTATTACATTTCGCTACTACCAGTTTCTTTAAAATTGTATACCGCTGTAAAGCAACGCATGATTTGCTTGTGGTCTAGCGACGGGCCTGGGGCACATATCAAAGGGTACGCGGGCCGTAACGCCGCGGCCCGGGGCCGGCAGAGCGTTGGCGGCGGTGCGCAGGGTTTTTCGCCGAAAGGTCGGCCGCAACGAAAGGAGATTTCGGCCGGATCATTAGCCACCGCCGCCGTTACCGTTGCTGGTGCTGTTGATGTGTTGTCGTCCGTGCGTGGTTATCGCTGCACGAGCGTGCCCGTGCACGCACCTGGCGCTGTTGCCGCAGCACAGGTACGATCGGAGGGCGTGCACGTACGCGCGTACGTTATTACAGGTAACACACGTACGCCGTGACCGCCGCCGCCGCCGCCGCCCGTTCACCGCGTCCGATCGACCTCGGGTTTCGACCTTAATACCGGCGGATGTGACGGCGGCGCGCGTGACGTGTCGACCGCGCGAAAACTGGTATATCGCGAATCACGGTATAATATTATTATACGCGCTCGCACGCACCGTAATATATATAACGTTGCCCGGTACACGCCGGCGGTTCGCACCCGATACGCGTACTCCGGCGCGAACACGAACACGTCATTTATTCGTTTATTACGATCGAACGGCCGATTCCGATCACAATGGTCGATGCGGAAACACGGAACAACGGTGTACATAGGTTGCTCTGGCGTGTGGGCGTCGCCAGAGGTGTACAGTACACGAATCCAAGTGTGATTGAACGCAATGCGTTTGATAAAGAGCCAAACAATTTTAGCGGTGTGGACGTGGAACGCCAAGAGAAAGCGCAGGAAGGATAAAGGCTGCGGTGCAACCGGGATCCGATTGGAAACAGACCAAGAGGTCAGACCCGAAAAGCGCCGGAAGATCGAAGAAGACGTGGATCGATTTGGCGTACCGAACCGGGAACAATACGTGCGGGATAGGGAAGTGCGGAGTGATTTTATATTGGCCGCAAAGGTTCTGGGCGAACCGTGGACCGCAACGAAAACAAGAAACGCAATATGCGTACGTGCACCTCGGTCGCGCTGTATACAACACCCGTGTACGCGCATAATGGTACACACGAGCATGTGCGACTAATCGTGTTGTAAACCGTGTTGTATATTACGTGGCCCGTGTGGCGTACTGTTCAGAGCATTGTTTTTACTTTCGCAATGTAACGTTATACGTGCGAGCGTAATCGATACCGCTGTTGTGCCAGTACTCGGGTACTCGGATACCTTCTAGGGACTACGATCCCTATTGTACCGTTTTGAACTATTTTACCATTTATAATTAAACATATATATATTTATGCATATTTCATGTAACGTAATGTACAATGGATATTTAATATGGGTTAGTTATGGTTTGTAAGACACTTTGACAGATTATAGAATACAACAATTTCCATTGATCATTTTATTGCAAGTTTATTATTTTATGAATTAGCAATTACTGAAATGTGATGTGTGCGATTATCTTGACCATTAACAAAGTGTTTTGTTTGAACTTTTTGGAGAAATGTTAAGCCGACGTTTTTCCAGCGATGTGGGAGGTGACTTGATACCCTAGCGTCCCTCCACTTTAAAGATCTGTCTGTACCTATAAATAGAGTCGTACGTCTGTAGACATTATAATACGTGTTTACCTATATGACTATTCGTAAATACATATACATGTTTATGAACATCGCTGCATCGGGGTGGTAAACCAGCTGGTACCGTACGTCATCCCAGCCATCTGCTGCAGTCAAAAATATACGGTGCAGTGAGGAGTTGACAAATTTTTCTCAACGGTGGTTGCTGGGTAGAATGCGACGCAGTGCCGTATTTCCCATAAAACACTATAAGCTAGTGCATAGGGCGGCAAATAATTTTTAATATTGCATTTTTATTATATGTAACTAGAACTAAAATAAATTATATTTTTATTATTAAATTTTTCATATGAATGTATGTATGCATTTTTATAACAGCTTTATATTTTTATTTTACATTATTAAAATTTTAAGTTATAAAGAAAACAACTATGATTGTATGCTTTAATAACATTTTTTAGAATAGAAAAATATTTATATTAAAAGGCGGCAATTTGTTTAGTGCTCAAGGCGGTACAATGGTTAAATCCGGAACTGATGCGACGAAAAAAAAAGAAGAATTGTGTAATTTATACTCTACGCGTATTATGTTCACTGTACCATGCAGTTTATTATTTGTGAGCCCCGGGGTGACGGTCGATAGTATTTTCGTGCCCTTTATGTATATAGGTATTTTTCGTTTGTTATAACGAGGAGGAGCGTATAAAGGGCGTCGTTTAACGATTTCCATCGCGGAATGAACGTATAAGTTACGCAAGACTTCGGATACTTGCGGTTGGATTACGTGCGAAACGTGCTGAAAGACATTTGGTGTCCTGTGCATTGGTAAACTCCTTTGTGTGACTGCGATAACGCCGGTAATAATGACTGGTTTGGCGACAATAGTGATGTTTTTACGACGTAGTGTTATATACGATTGCAAAAACTAAAAGGGTAAAAATGGTATTATACGGCTTACGAAAGAATCCGTAACCGCATACGCGCGATTCGGAACGCTAGGGGTTATTGGCTCTGGGTCGGAGCGGGGTAGTTCGGCTATTTTGAAAATTAATATTTTCACTTATGTATTCGTATGCGATTCTTTAGTGCAATTATAGGCCTAAGATGTTTCCCTGATGGATTGACTATATGTTCTCTGAACTAAACATAGTTTTTCTAAAGTGTTTTGGATAACACTTAATTTATAAACTTAAAGATAAACTTATAGTTTATAGCATGTTTTTCATGTAGGACTGAATGTGGCCGCCGAACGAGAAATTTCTAATGATCGTGAATAAACATAGTATGTTTTTACATTTTTACTTTGAGGATCATATGGCATGTTGTCAAATAGCTGATTCAATAAAGTGTATTAATAGTAAAACAAAAAGTATCGTCATCGTCAAAAACCGAAGACACGTGTGTCGAACACAACGATATTGTTTCAAGTATGAATCAAAGAGATCTAATGGAGGGGGAGGTGAGCGGAGACGTGGGCGAAGTCGAATAAAGTCTTGAAAACGTTCGTTGCGCCGTCTTAAGTGAACCGTCAAATCGCGCACAGACGGGCGTAGTCATAATCCACCCCCGCCCCGAGGTGAACGTTACGGTGACGGTGAAACGTTCGCGATTCACGGTGGGAGGGGAGGGAGGGTAATCGTGTCTACGAGAGAACAATCGCGTCGCCAGGTGATGATCCGTGAGCGCGCGTCGACCTCGGATGACGTCATCGCGAACGAAACTTTCGACCACGAGTCACGAGGCTGTCCAACCGCGGTCGCCGCCGTTTCGTCTCGGAACGGCGGGCGATTTTTTTCCACCATTTCTCGTCGGCAACAATGACAAATGACCAACAATAATAACACGATACGATGGCGAATCGCGGGTGACCGTAACGATAAAATAACGACGTAACGACGCGATTCCGTCCGAGTCGTTTTGAACTCACAATAATCGTCGTACCCCCGACCACTGCACTTGTTTGCGTAATAATCGTAGTAATAACTGCATAGGTGTACTCAGGCGCGTACACAAGGGGGGATTTTAGGGGTTCAAACCACTCCCGAAATTCAGGAAAATTATATTAAATATGTTTTTATATAGTAAAATTGGTATATAGATTATATTATTATGCAAATGTACAACCTAAAACCCCTCCCAAAATATTTTTTTGTGTACGCGCCTGGGTGTACTAATTGCGATTTCTCGCGTTCGACATCGCCGAAACGATCCGCTACGAACGACGATGACGCGATGACGACTACGCGAAGATAACGAAGATAGCGATGTTAACACGGAACGTGTTCTATTATTTTTATTTGCGACTTGGTGTGTGCTCTGTGGCGCACTGAACGCGTACGTCCATGGGAAATGTTTGACAAACAGCACGAATAATATTAATAATAATAATACTGTAAATGGAAGGCGGCGTCCGTGTACGTGACCGCGTGGGAAATTAAATAATATTGTTTTAAACGCCGCTCGTGGCCGTCACCGTCCACGGCAATCGATACGGACGTGAACAACCGCGTTCAACGGCGGACAAGAGAAACGGATAGAAACTGGAGGAGGAGAAGAAGAAGAAAATGAAAAAAAAAAAAA